CGTTTCGTCTGGCAGCTGAATATCGAAAGAAATGTGCAGCTTCCTATGCACCCAAAACTTCTTCTCCTAAGAGTTGGTTTCAAGATATGGAAGATAATGCCGATTGTCGCTTTTTTTACCGCGACCATATGAGGGTAAAATTTGTATTATCTGAACTCGATTTCAATAAACTTGTTCATCCAATTGACTTGATTATAATTTTAGGTTTCAATTGCTATAATTTTAGGTTTCAATTGCTATAGTTTTCTACCTGTTTGTATAATTGATCATGGTTTCTGTATTCGAAAAAAGTGTGTTATGGTCTGGTACAGTCCGAACTGTAACATCATAACCATAAAAAAGGGGTAGGGCCTAATATCAAGGGCCCTACCCTCCCCTTTTTTATGGTCCTGATATTACAGTCCAGTACAGTTTGGATTGTAACACAGGATTCACTACTAAAATTCCAACCTTCAGCAACATGATCTCATGTTGCTGAAAGTGCTTGCATTGTTGCTGAAAATGCTTGCAATGTAGGTAAAAGCCTTTTAGCAACATAGCTTTCGTTACTAAAAGCTTTGTTGGAAAAGCCTTAGTGGCTGATATATTAGCAACAAAGGGTATGTTGCTAAAAGAACACTTTCAGCAATGTGATTTATGTTGGTAATATTCTTGCTAGATTCTGGTGACCGATGGTGGAGTTTATTCAACCATTTTTAGCAACAAAAGCCACGTTGCTAAAACTTTATTTTTAGCAACGTGGCTCATGTTGCTGAAAGTTTAAGAGAAATGGTGGTTTTCAGAAGGTGGTTTTCCTTTCTTGTTTTCAGCAACCAGAATCACGTTGCTGAAAGTTCAAGAATAGTACATTCCCTAGTTTTCAACAACGTATATCTTGTTGTTGATATTTATTTGTATACTTCCCTCATATTAATTAACTACTTAATAAATTTTAGTTTAATTAATGTAAATTAAATAACATCACACTACAAAAAAATCCACATTTAGTGACTAAATTATTGATCATTAAATCTTTATTTTTCGTTACAAATTATTATTAGTGATAAAATTTAAATCGTTAGTAAAACCCTTGTCACTAATGCTCTTAATAACAAATTAGGCACCTGTCATAGAAAATAACTTTATAGTGATAAAAAAAAATTAACATTATTAACAAATTATTCATAACAATTTTATTCGTCACAAAAAAAATATTCGTCACAAATGCAATTATGGTGCAAAATTTAATCATTAATTATTAAAATTGATATTAAATAAAAAAGATATTTATATAATTACAA